AGGATGTGATCTGAACCCAAGATGAGCAGCATACACTTTGTATTTAATACAGAGTGTTTGAACAGTGTGCAGTGCTATGTTCAGCAATCTCTTCATGGGCCACTGAAGTAGAGTCACTTCTGTGAGCAAGCACAGCCATGTGGCCAAGTTGTATATGTCTAAGTTCTCTAAAATTATCTACAAGGTTGTTTTTCAAAAAATGAAAAGCTTTGTCCAAGATTTCATCTCAATATACTTCAATTTCATCTCAATATTGGTTTTGGACTAATTATTTAGAAAAATTTCTACTGAACATTTTTGGAAAATCAGGATTCATGAGAACTTGTTGCAAATTATACTCTTCAATAGAAGAGTGTTCTAAAAAAAAATTTCTATTTGATTACAAGTTTAGAAGTATGACTAAGATACTGAACTTGAAAATTCATTGCCTGTACAGCAGCATGCATCTCTGGTACCTCTGCAGATAGAAAACTTTTCTGATTAGCATTGGAGATTTGACCAGATTAAAATTTCATTTGATTTATGACCCTATTTAATTTTCCCATTTTTAAAAAATTGGTTACCAATTAAAAAACTCACCATATACGTATAATGGATTTAGATGCAAATGAATTAATCTATCTGGTCTCACAATGTCTTAGCAAAAAAAAAAAAAAGAGTATAAATTTGCTTGGAAGATCCTGCCACTTATCATTAAAACTGATCTTAATTTTTAAGGGGGTTGTCCTAGAAAGTACTGAATATGCTTCATAAGCAGAAATCAAAAGTGTGAAGAGAATCTGGAAGTAGATTTCCAGGTCCATATTTAGAGTCTTAAGTAAGTGACCTGATTTTTCAAAGGTGCTGAGCAGTCAGCCATCTGTGTTAATTCCACCGGAGTTCTCAACTGCTCAGCGCTTCCAGAAACAGACCCGTTACTCAGGATCAGCAATGCGAAATTTTTAAAAGCTTTTTATGTACATCTTAAAGTTAGTCAATTTTATTAAGTTGGGTGCCTAAAGTACTATTGTAGGACACCCCCATTTTGCCTTGTGTCACCTTCCTTATTTAAGTTTTGGCAGAGGAAAGCCTGGCTTACGTAGTGAGGTCACTGAGAGACCTGTGATGTTGGCTGGCAGCCTTGTTACAGTCTTGCTTGGCTGTGAACTGACTGTTGATGTTGCAAAGTTCAGTGAGTATTCGTCAAACAGAAACCACAGTTCTCTTGCAGGTTTGGAAAATCCTGTTCTTAGCCAAAGTTTTTTACTATTTTTTCACCTCTTTCTAGAGGAAAATGATCCAGCTTGGGAAATACTGATGGATGTCTTATTGTATCAAAAACCAGAAACAATATTTAAACATGAGTCCGAGCTTGGATAGCAAAGTATTTTGTTAATTTATCCTACTGCATATTTCCTCTATATGTATTTCTCTTCTGCCTGTTATTGCAGTTGTAAATATCTGAAGTATAGGTAGTTTTCTGTGTTTTTGCAGTATTGAACAAAAATTGGTCGTATTAATACATGGTTTCACGCTGATGCTACTTGAGGCAACGACAGGTCATCAGCTAGCATAGTAAAAATAATTCCTTTTATTTTAAATGAAACTGTGCTAATTTCTGGATCTGTGTCTTCCACTTACATGCTAGTCCACTGTTGCTTTCTTTTTCTTCGTGTATATTGCCACAAAATATCAGGCACAATATTTTGTTGTAGTGTTTTTTTCAAGTAGTAGTTGTAAACAGCATATATTCATAAATGGCAGAGGCAAAGCTCTCCCTTTTTTGTTTTTCCTTAGTATTTTAGCAATGTAAAACTACCTCTGGGCATTTGCAACTAAAGTTGCGGTAAATCTACTTTTCTTCTCAACATCTTCCCCAATTACAAGTTCCCATCTAGCTAATTTGTATGTGAAACAAACAAAATAGCAATGTTATGTGCAAGGATTTGTTGTTACTGCTTAACTTTATTTGGTTTGAGTTCTATGACTTGGGAACCAGCAATCTAAGCTGTACCATCAAAATACAGAAGTGTTTCTGCTTTTGTTTTTGCAAATTACAGCAGTAATATACAAAGGTAGTGAAATTCATGCTATAGCATATCACAGCACAGAAACTTTCTAATACTATGTCACAGCCTTATCTTTTCATAGAATAAAATTATAATCTGATTATAAATTTTCATGTAGTAGTTTTTATGTGTTCTGTAACACTTAGTAGGATGTTGTGAGAGAAAGCTGGATGCAATTAAAAGTTTTGCAACAGTGACATTACTTGGAGATAAAGTCTTCCAGAACCTTATTTCTTTTTGAGAAAATGATCCTTGATTAAGAAGTTCTTTTTCTTTTTAACTGTGTAAAGTAAAAATTGTAGTTTCTATTTTAGAATCAAAAGTTTTCCTATGAGGTGCAAATGGGACTGCTACAAAAACCAAAGAGGTAGAAGCTGTTACTTTAATTTAAGGAATTATGAGCAAAAAGTTATTTTTTTACAAGTCAGTTTTTGTTTTCAGTGTTACATCTTTGTTGTCAGTTATGAACTACTGGGTGGGGTTTTTTTCCAGGTTTTCTGTAAAGGATTCAGTTCTGTAGCGAAACCAATCTGAAATATCTGTTTGCAGGATTTGTAGTCATTTGTAAAGAGCTATAGAAATAATATATAAAGCTGTGGGAATTGTAGAAGGTCAGGCAAAATCCAGTGGATTGGCGTTACGCCTTTGAAGAAATTCTCTGTATGAAACTGTTGAAAGAAACATGGGTGACATGAGAATCCTGCCCCCTAACTAGCCAATGACAGTCAATTGACAAATAGAATAAGAAACACTTATTGCCAGCTCTGTGGTGAAATATTTAAAGAACAGTTTTTCATACGGCTTTCAGTTAAGCCCATTTTTAGAACATAATACAAAGCAGAAAAGCAGAACACCATATAAAGTGTCTAACCTTATATTTTATAAGGTATTAGGTTAATTTACTGGAAAAGTAGTTACAACTTTCTTCAACACTAACTGTTTACCCCCTGAAGAAGGTATTGTCTGGTCACTGAGCAGGAATTAAAAAATCTGGGTGATGTTGCCTACCTCTGACAGCACAGAAAGCCTAATTCCTTAAACATTTGCTCAGTTTCATAATTAACTAAAGGGGATCACTAACCAATGACATCAATTTGAACAGAACATAAATTTGAATGAGAAAATCAGTTTCTGTACTTCCTTTCTATAATACTGTACATTGCTAAGACTGCAGGAGAAAAATATGATTCACGTGTAAGAACTAGAATTGCTGTCAAACTTTGATGTCTGCATTTTAGCACTTTAATGAATATATAAAATCAGTTTGATTTTTAGATTTGATGAACACTCACAGCTTTCACTGGAGTCAGCCATCCTGAGTGATATAAAACCTTCTACTGTTATTTTTCATAGATGTAGGTTCCTAACTTTAGATAAAAAAATGTGAAAGTATTTGGTATGAATATGAATTTAAAAGTTTTCAGACTTCTGGCAAGTTTGTTAATGGTTAAGATGCAATAGAATTTATTTTCTTTTGAATCTGAAAATATAAAAATTAACTGTTTAAAAGTCATAAGTGAAAAACTTTTATTCAGATCACAAATTCCTATCTTGCCCTCTTAAAGATTTGAGGGTTTTTTGCTTCGCTTTGGGAGGAATAGAGCCACAGCACTGCCAGCCACTTTTGACGTATGACTTCAGGCATATGACTGCGGGAAAGCTGGAGAGAGATTTGGGCTCACATTCTCTTCCCTGTGTCCTTAGCCCTGAAACGTTAAGGATCATTTATCTCTTTTCTGGTCAAGATGGAGCAATAATAACAACAACAGTTCTAAAATTTCCAACACCATTGATGTCCTGCTTATTTTTTAATGTATATATTTTGTGAAGTTTCTACAGCTTCAGGGAAAGCAATAGCAATAACAGTGAAGAGTGGAATGTCACAGCAAAGGCCGAAGGACCCATACACCTCATGGACAATGCTGGCTTTTGGGATACAAGCAAAGCCGATGAAAGCAATTTTACATTAGTTGTTGCATGTCATTCCGACTAGTGCTTCCTAGGCTTAGGCAGCAGCCAGCAATTACTTCTCCCAAAATGCCCCTGTGTCTTTTCTTTCCAATGGAACTCTCCAAGTGCAGTCTCCGTCTGGGCACACGACCGACCATGATCTGCCAGCTGCCTGCACGTACAGTGCTAGGCAGAGCGCCGAGCAGAGGGAAGGCGCGGGGGTGCGCATGCGGGGTGACCAGAGCGGAGCAGAGCCAGCACCGGGCCTGAGAGCTGGGTGCCTTCCCTGCCGGGGAGCTCAGCTCATGGCGTGTTAGGTAGCGCTGCCGCTGTGCGGCAGCGGAGGCTGAGGCCAGGAGGCCGTGCAGGTGAGATCTCAAGCAAAGAACTGGATGTTTCCAGTGCGTCTTCCAGGCAGTGGCTTATTTTGAATTCCGAATGCAGCAAACATGAGGCCAAGACCTTTCCAATTCAGCAGCTTCAGGGGAACTGTAGTGAGGAAAAGAGAGCCTAGTCTGTGGTGATGATTCATGGGCAGCCAGACGGGTGCTGAGTCTGGACTCTTGGCTGAGGCTGGTGGATTATTCCAGTCCCTTCAGCCAGAGGCAGCCCATTTGGCAGGTTTTTCTGGTAACTTTTCCAGCAGCCTCTTTTATCCGCAAGTACCAAGCTGCTGAGGACTGGAGTGGCCCAGTCTTAACCAGGCAGTAGCCAGCCTCCATCTGTGTCCTGTTGGTGGTGAGGAGGAGGGGCGGCTCCAGCCCACCCCATTCCCGTCCCTCCATGTCTGCGTGCACCCGGCCTTGGCTGCGCCTGCCTCTTCCCCGGGTCAGTGGGGCACTGCCTGGCTGGGTGCCGTGCCGCTGTGAGCAGAGGAGGGTGCGGAAGGGCTTCTCCCTCTCCCAGCATACAGCCATCCGCCCTGGCAGCGGCAACCTCAGTGCAGAAAAGGAAGGAGAGAAATGCAAAGTTGCTCACCAGTGCTAAAATTAGCACGTTGACATGATTGTGGGTAACTCCTTGGTGGTCTTGTGTTACATCCACGAGTAATTCTGCATTGCTTTTTCTGTTAGGATTAGCTGCAGATATTTTGTGTTTGAATATCTGAGAAGGTTAAAATCTAACTGGAAGTTGATGCGTAGGATACATTTATAGTTAACACAAATATGTTTTTAAAACTCTGTTGTGAATGGCCTGATTGAGGAGTGAAGATCTTACTGATAAGCTATGTGGAATACATTTCAGGAATTGCAAAAAAGTTTTCTTGATTGGGTAGAAGCAGTACAGAACCGTAAAAATGACAAATAACAGTGGCAGTATCAGCAACCTCTGAATAAATCTACTGACAGCAAGAAAGTTTTCCCTTTGGCTCAAAAGCAGTTGATGGGATAGATCTTTTATATTTACTGTAATATTAAAATATGCATATTTATCTTTAAGAGGTACCATTATACCCTAGCTTCACATTTCTGTTGGCAGCCAACCAATTATGAATTTTTCTTCAGGAACTTCTGGGTTTTAAACTACTACTGGAATTTTGTTGTTTAAATATTAGTGAACATTCTGAATTCCTTCGAAATCCCTACAGCCTTTTAACTCCATCAAAATCAACTCTGTGATAGAAAATCAGTTCCTTTTTCACAGCAATTCACTCTTTGCTAATTCCATGCTTTGGAAAAATAAATGTACTTTTAAAAATATTGCTAACTTCTGAACTGTGAAAGGTACTGTGGAGAATATGAAGGTTTCTGTAGTCATGCTTTAATTTTTGAGTACAAGTCCTTTTTTTTTTTTAAAAAGAGACAGGAAAAAAGCCTGTTATATTGAAAAAATTGTATTTCAGTGAAATACTATTGTTTATGTGTGCTACTCCCCTCTAGTGAATGCAAGTGGAATTGCTCCATCTCATGCCATGCTATGGACCCTCAGCTGCAACCAGATCATGGAAATGTGAACTTTTTTCTGCTTTTTCTAGTACAGATAAACCAGACCTTCATTGCAAAGCATGCCAAGTTTGCTAAATTCAGTCCTTTGCGCACACATAATGCCCAAGTAAATACTGAATCACAGAATCACAGAATCAGAATCACAGAATCGTTAAGGCTGGAAAAGACCTTTAAGATCATCAAGTCCAAACATCAACCCAACACCACCAAGCCCCCTAAACCATGTCCTGAAGTGCCATGTCTACACGTTTTTTGAACACTTCCAGTGATGGTGTCTCCACCACCTCCCTGGACAGCCTGTTCCAATGTTTGACCACTCTCTCGGTAAAGAAATTTTTCCTAATGTCTAGTCTAAACCTCCCCTGGTGCAACTTGAGGCCATTTCCTCTCATTCTACCACTAGTTACTTGGGAGAAGAGACCAACACCCACCTCACCCCAGGCCCCTTTCAGGTAGTTGCAGAGAGCGATAAGGTCTCCCCTCAGCCTCCTCTTCTCCAAACTGAACAACCCCAGTTCCCTCAGCCGCTCCTCATAAGACTTGTGCTCCAGACCCCTCACCAGCTTTGTTGCCCTTCTCTGGACACGCTCCAGCAACCCAATGTCCAAATACAAAATAAACTTCAACAACAGAAAAACCGTATTCGTTATTACTGCTGTGTCTGTACATATCACTGAATTTGAGTAATAGTTTCATGTTTGTTGCCCCAGTTATGTACACACAGCATTTATTTTAATAATGTTTCCTTTTTTCTTGATTGGTGAATATATATTTATTTAGCAATTTGAAAACCTCCATGATAGGTTAATATTTGCTTTATTAAACCTTTAAGTAATTGTCATGGTTTAGCCCAGGACAGTAATTGATACCGATGCTAGAGTGGTTTGGGTACAGGTAGGTGTGCAAGCCAAGATAAAAGTATCAATCCCTATATTTTTACATGGACACTCTTGTTGAACAGGTAACATATAACAGAGGAAGCCAGTGTTATAAAAATGCTATGTACCTGATAAATATTCTGCCAAATGTCAGTTAACAAGGTATCATGTGTAGGATTTCTGTGGCCAAAGGCCAGTCATATAGCTCAGTAGTCACCCTAGTCTGTCCTTATCACCCATGGAGAGAAATATATGCATTTAGGTCTCCATTCATCTCCTAACGTACACAACTAAAATACGCTTATGTTCAGAAGCTGATTTTTTCTATTGACTGCACATTACAGACACTTTAAGCTAGCATGAAATGAATCCTGTATGTGGTGGTCTAAAAAAATCTATTTGCGTCTGCTTCTTTGCTCTTTTATTTTGCTACTTATTGGCATAATAAATGTGTCATTAATTGGTGGTACTGGCAAAAACAACTTCTGCTTTCACACTGACAACCAAAGTTAGTCCATTAGAGTTGTACAGGCTGTGAAGGTCTCATTCTTAACAAAGTAGCCCAAAGAAGTAATGTAAGATGTAGGAGTAGTGAACCCTAAATCAACATAAAATTTGATGTGAGGCAACTGTTTGCTGAAATACATTTCATAAGGAAAAAAAAAAAAGAACATGGATCCAAAGTTGTTCTGTCATACCTAAGAAATGCAGAGGTATGCCTGAAAGTAGAATTTGCTCTATGGAACTTCCTATGTTTATATATCATACTCGCACATTAAGACTGATACTATGCATTCACTTACTTACCTGAAGCCTAAAGAATGGGAAGTGTGAATGTAGCCAAGAGGTCAAATGTAACACATTTCCTTGTTTGCCTTTTGGGATCTTTCTGCTTTTCACATCCTTGCACACTTCTGAGAACCAAAGCTGCAGTTCACCCTTGTTCTTAAAGGATGGCAGATGTTGTTTGTGAAGGCTAAAAGCACTTTTTAAGTAAAAGAAGTGTAAAAAAATATGATGCGAAATTCTGTGTCATCTAGTTAGTCAAAACTCACACTGGGATTTGTGGACTCTAGGTTTTTTTGTTTATGGACTGTGGTGTACATCAGTGCAGCTCTGTATTTTCTTCCTTTGTAGCAAAAGGATAAATTTCTGTTTGTTGTTGCACAGCACTTTGAGAACTGTGGTTGAGAAGTGCTATTACATAAAGTAATAAAAATTATCTCTTCTCTTTTCCAGAGAGATCAGTGCTTGCCCAGCCGACATTTGTTTTTGAAAAGAAGGACCGTCCTTGGAAAGTAAAAAGCATTTTTTTTCCCCCCCCCCCCCCCATAATTGATAACAAATGCTGAGAAATTAGGATTCTATAGACAGTCATCCTAGCAGTAATAAAAGATTTTAGCCCAGGTTAAGACCTGTAATAAATGGTCTCAAAATAGAACAAGGAAAAGTAGAAACAAGACTCCTTTCAAATGCATATAAGCTAGATTGATATACTTTGTGTCCTGGTCTAGAAAATGGCTGTTCTATTCTCCTTGACCTTTCCACACTTATATTTTTTTTCCAGCGGCCTGCAGAAGACCCAGTTTGCAAAGCTGAAAATGGTAATAACAACCTCATTGAAACAGTATAATTATACACTGGATTATTCATAGGCCTGACCGTTGCTTGTGAAAATAGTGTTTGGACCCTTACTTTGTATGAGCAGGGACAAATCCCTCTTAGTAGACTGACTATGTGCGTTGTAGAGCCACCTAGTATGTCCTAATGTGTAAGTCCCTGTCTTACCTCAATAATTCTTCCATCTTACCTCTCATATTTATCAGAAAGTCAAAGTCCAGAAGCCTTGAAAAGTGGCCAAGTATATTCATCAGCTGTATGAGCTCCTAGCTGCCCTTTTCTATTAGTTTAGGCTAAATTTCCATTCTTAATGCCTTGTGAGCCTGTTGGCTCTGAATTGATTCTAAGCCCTTCATTCAGGTTCTCTGAACTTAGTGGAAATAAAGGCTGCTTAGGGCTTTGCGCCAGGTGTTGACTGAGATTCCAAAGTCCTTATCCTCTTAGGTACTGCCTTAAAGCTGTTGCTGTAACTCATTCGTAGAATTTATTGTGTTCAGGTTTTAATTCCGTATCATAACATTGTGATGAAATTTCGTGCCAGCCTGTCCCTGCAGAACTTTATATTTACTTTTCTCTAGATTTCATTAGTTGTTCCAGAAAGCGTGTAAGATCATCATCTTTTACTTTCCAGAAGTCTGACTCTCAGTCTAACACAGGTATGACATTGAGCTCCGGTCATGTTTTAATTACAGTAGTTCTGTATTCTCATCTGGTAAAGGAGAGAAGGAATTTTCCTGTCTAAGAAACGTTTCTGCACTGTAGAAATGCTGCAAGTCATGAAAACTTAAACATTGATGTAAACTTGCTGGCAATTTCCAATAAATCCCTTTTAAAGTAAAAATATATTAATTCTCCATACTTAGATAATATTACATAAAGTTATGAAAAATCTGTATATTTCATATCATTTCCTTGAATTGCTCACACAGTCAAGGGAGGAGGAGGGCTGGAAAGGAATGAGATTCCCTGGTTTGTAGAGAGATCAATGTACCCTGGGCAATCCCTGAAAATGTAAAGCAGTTTCTAGAAGGGCCCCTCCTTCCATCCAGCCAACAGCTGACCTGGAAGGCCCTTTAAGGACTGTATATTGCTTCCATGGGAAGCACACGCAAGTCACTGAGGTGATTGTGCAGAAGGACTTACCTGTTTTTCACAGTGTTTATTTAACATAGGAATGGGACCAGAAAGTTATTTCTGAATTCAGGCATTAATATGTGTACACTATATATTGTTTTATCTAGTCCTGTGACACACCTGAATGTAGCTAAGAGGATTTAAGATAAGCTAAGTTTGGTTTACTGTGAAATATATACTGAGATCATACACAGAAACTCACAGATACAGTAGAAATTTTAGGGTATGCCTATACCAAAAAAAAAGCAGGGTGCAGGTGGAAGCTTGAGTGTTTAACCTCTTGATCGTCCATGCTGCTTAACTGATAGCTCACTCCCTGGTTCTATTTTGAACCTCTCCAACTGGCAGTCTCCTAGACAGAACTGTTATAGAGTGGACTAGCCATAAGCAGAGTGCCTGAGCCAGGCTGTGCCACTTGGCCACAGAGAGCTCTTCAGTTCAGCAGTATAGGCACAACCTAACAGTCTACTTCAGAAAGCTGGTAGTTAGCAGATAATAATTTATTCTACTGCCAATGAAGGCTAACACTAAAATTAATCTTTTTTTTTCCAAACAAATTATAATTTTAGTCTTTTATGCTTTCAGATACAACTCTCACTCTGAAAAGAGGGAGATCATCTTCCTTTACCATCCTTCCAACATTCCCTCCCTCCCAGCCAGGTAATTCAAAAAAAAAAAAAAGAAACCAAAAAATCCCAATAAATATTTATGTAGGAAGGCAGGTATTATCTAAGATAAAGAGGTATACAGAAATGTTTTTTCTGCAGGACAGAGTTTGAGTGCATTGGACTAGACTGGTATTTGGACAGGATAAAGGAATGTTTTAGGAGGAGGACTGTCAGTTCAGTAGAACAAATGTTTTTTGCATTTTTTTTAGGGAATCCTGCAGTGCTGAGGAGGAATCTTTGAATAATTTGCAAATAGGCATTTACACAGCGTGATACAAATCATACTTGAAAAAACAGTAGTTTTTTGTAGTTAAATTACATGAATTAGTTTGCTTGCAATTTAATGGTGATGGCTCCTGTAGCAATATAATTTTCTATCCTAGGAGCCTGTCTTCCATCTAACCAGTGACCCTGGGAGTATTCTCCCACTTACTACTAACAGGAACAGTGGAGTGGTCTTAAATCCTAGCCTATGTTACTTACCAGAGACAGATCCTTGACAGATGTTGGCATAAAGGATTTCTAAACAATCTTAAGAGGACACAACATTGTTATAACAACAAACCACACTCTTTCTGCAGTGAAAAAGTAGTGACTGATTGTAGAGTATCAGCTGTGTCATTTTACAGGACGTGGTACATGGTTGCCATCACTTCCCAGCTGATGTTTGGTATCTTTGTTAGAGTAGTGAAAGCATCAGTAGTGCACTGCCATCATTATACTGTTACGAAGGCCTTTTTATCAGAACAGGGCAGGGCACATTTATTTATTCCCAGGTTCTTGGGCCTCATTTACTCATCTTAAAAATGTGTAAGACTGGACCAGATAGCATTGCCATTTCAACAGATTTTACAAACCAGCTGCACCTGGTTTTCAAAGCTGAAGAAGGACTTTATGAGTTTAAAATATCCATTACTATACAAAAAACTTCTGTCTCGGACATAGCGAGAAAACCCACGTTGCCTTCTGTGCCTAAGTCTACCCACCTGTAAAATGGAGACAGTAACAGTTATCTCGGAGATCTTGTTTAGGTGGATAGGTTGAAATATTGCTCAGGTACTACCAAAATAGGGAGGGGTTACAGAAACATGAATTAATAATTAAAGTATGTTTTAAAGCTAAATAATAGTTTTAAATAGTTTTAAAGCTTCACAAGCTCATTATTAAAGTTTAAATTCCTTGCTTTGTAGTAAAGAAGAATAACATATTCATGTCCTCAGCTCTTCTTCAAAGAAACCGTGACTTGATCAAAAGTACAAAAGAAGGTAACTGTCGTTGCAATATTTGCTCACTGTAGTTCCACAAAGACATTCTTAACAGATAGAGAAGACATAAAAATGACAACTCTTCTCTATGCTGAGTGATAGGCTAAGTATGAGGATCATAAGTTATTTGTTTGACAGTGTAAATACCCTGTGAGCTCTGTTCTGAGCCTCTGCTCTGAGTACTTAATTCCTGAGTGGACTGAATATAACCTTGAGTAGTGAAATTCCACATTTCTAACTGAATAACTCTGCTCCTGGAGAAGACAATGAAGAACCTTCTTAGCATCTGCAGGTGCAGGATTAAATCTGAAATACCAGAAGACAGATCTAACACAAAGCAGTAAATACAAGTATGAATATAAAGATATATTTAAATAAATCAATACAAATATATTTTATAAATATAAATAACTGTATTTTTGTATACAAAATTTTATTGTGTTTTATTCTGAATGGATAACAGGGGTTGGTGTCACTGCAGAGCTGTATAGTTTAGAAGGGATTACAGTGTTTCAGAATACGTACAACAAATGTTATTTAAATATGCTTTGAAGCTTTCAGTTAAAGAGGCAAGACACATAGGTATGAATAAGATATGAAGAAAAAGTCTCTGTTTAAATATTTTATCTTTGTATTTTGCAAGGGTCCTCATCACAAAGTCAGCTGCGGAATGTCATTAGACCTGCCATTTTACAAGCCCCAAAAGCTGTGACCTGTCCTGAAAATCCTGTAGTATCTCTATTAACTAAGAAAGAAGCACATGTTCAGGTAAAAAGAAAAGTAATTTTACTGGCTAATATATGTTTGCAGCTCAAAAAAAAAAAAACCAAACAACCAAACAACAGTGCTGTTTTAAAGGAGTTAACTATTCCACTGCATGATTTTCAAGAAGGTTCCCATATCAGTTTCAGTGGAATCGATGGATCACTGACATGGTGTGACCTGTTAAACTTACGCTGACTGTGTTTGAAAAAACATCTCTTCTCTGCAGGCTGTCTCAGCTTTCAGATATCATGGTTCTGTGGGCAAATCAGCTTTAGGAGTCTTTTGGATTTTTTACAAAGTAAAATTTTAGCATTTTGATTAAGGCCACTGGCTTAGGTCTAATTAATTGATCAGGTCTTATTATTCCTAGCTATCTGAAGACAGCTCTTCTTCCCCAGTTGAGAATTCAATAAGTTCCAAAACAGCAGTGAGGTCATCTACTACCATGAATCTTGCTAGCCCGAAAACAACACAGTAAGTTTTTATTTATTATATTTCTACACCATTTTGTCACTTGGCCTATGTCGTGTGCTTTTGTCGTATATGTCTAACATGGTACTAAGCCCATGCTACCTACACCCACTCAGTGCTCACTGGTGTTTGAGTGTGGTGCCAGGGTTTGTGGGTACTGACATGAACTCTGTATCCCATAAGAAATGGACTCCTGCCGGGAATTAATCTCTGTGGGGCAGTTTGTTTGTAATTAGAAATCCCCAGACCAGAAACTATTTTGGTTTGCCATCTCATGCAGCTTTAGCAGTTCAAAATACATCCCAGTTTTGAATGTTTGAATCTTTGTGTCCCTTTGAGGAACTCTCTTCTGATTGCATAGCTGCTGAATCTATAAACAGATGCAGAGAAACTCAGGAATTACCAAAATATGTCAGCATATTGGACACAGGAGACATGGAGAAAACCACGCAGGACTGCTTTGTAAGACAAAGTCATGCTGTGGGTCCTAACACTGCTTGCACATGGTTGATGTGGATTATTTACCTGGAAGTTGTGAGCCTCAGGAATACACCTGAGATTAGTTATGATAAGAGTATGACATTTCAAAATTGCTAGGGTAGACAGATAACACAGTTATCATGTTGCCTACTTTCCCCCTCCCACCCAAAGAAGGCACAGAACATGTTAAAGGCAAAGGAGTCTATTCCAGTTTTCTTCAGGGCTGGGTGGGCCGCAGATAGAGCTTCCTGCATAGAACATTTGGGATGTACAGTGACAGGGTTCTGAGGAGATAAGGGGTTTCTAGATGCACAGGCAACTTAGATTCTTAATCCTTACCAACAAGAAGAGCATCATTAGAGAGCAGATACTCACTGTGATTTTGGAAGAGCTAGCCTGTGCTTTTCTATCACAATTAAAGCTGTGATGATGCCCTGTGAGGACAACATGGAGCCACACAGCAGGCTGGATTTTTAGGAGATTCAGAATGATGGTAATGCACGTACTAGAAAAGCTAAAGGGAAGATGGTATTGACTTCAAAATCAGTTGGTATCAATATTCCGAGTCTGTTTACCTTCGGTCACCTGCACAATATCTAGGAAAAGATAGGTGACTGGCTTTCTCTTGTGTAGTAGATGAATAGAGAAATGCAATGCAGTGTTTCAGTGCTGACAAATTACAAGACTTAAAAGTGCTTATGGTATTTCTTTTCCTTTTCTTTTTTAAAAGAGGAATTGCTAATCTGCTTGGGGTAATTGTGCCTCATAAATTCTGTATATCACAATTGTGGTAAATCTTGGTTTATTTGACAAATTGAAAACTAATGTAAATACAACTAGGTGCTTACTGGTCTTCTGAGATTGCAGGGGAGTGTAAGTGCCATTCTTCTGATTCGTATTAAGTGACTGATGCTTTAAAATACTTCAGTAAAATCTTTTTGGCATAGCTTTTCTGTCCTAGATAGCTTGACAACAAGTATTCAAACAAACAACTTTATAAAATCCATATACACGCTAAACGATACTGAACATTGCAGCCAGACCTGCTCATTGCTAAGAAAAGATTTTTTTACACTTGTTTTTAATTATCAATCAATGTGTAACAATTGACATTTATCTACAAAAAATAAAATGCAGAAACTCAACAGCAGGGACTGCTGCTGCCTGCAAACGCTGCGCTTACTTTCCCTCCTCTTCCACCTCTTGTTCTCTATGTGATGCGGTTCTGTATAGAGATGAATGAAAATGCTTTGTTAGCCCTCTGCTGTTGCTGTCCATGTCCCAGGAAACTACCAACAGTTCCATTTCCTAAACTGGCTGTAGGAATGTGCTGAAAAGGAGAAATCTGCAGTTTCTTGAGTCTGATTAAAAACTTGGAAAGGAGATTGTGTTCTAAGTGACAGAAATATCATGCTGGGAAAACACAGGCTGCTGGTCATGTATTCAGCTTTGCACAAGTATTTGCTTGGAAAGCTGCAAGGGTTCAAGGGCAGCACTGGAGCTGGCAGCTGCTCAGACCCTTCTGGACACTTCAGGACAGTACCTGGATCTACTCCCTTTCCATAGTCCCTTTCCAGTATCTGATCCACATTTCTCCTTCTCCCATTCTTCCTTGTTAGTGGTCATACCCTGAATTCAGTGTCTCTGTTTTGTATCTCCATGGCAATGTCATCCCTGGTACACTTTGTTCTTGTCCTGCAGTAACATAAGGGTATTGAGGTTTTAAAAAGACTCTAAGGCTAGCACTTCCAGTTAACTGTCTGGAAAAAGAAAGATCCTGCACTGGTTACTTTTTCATTACATTCCTGAAGGTAAAAAAAAATCCATTTTGAACATTATTTCTTTGAGAAAAGGCTCTAGTTTCTGTTTTTCAGGTCTTATGGAGTGCTATCCTTACTAAGTTGCTACTGGAGCAGATGAGATTTCAGAATAGAAAGTAGTAAGTAGCAGATGAGATTTCAGGATAAAAATTGATCACAATTCAGTGAATTTTAGTGCGTAATTTTCCTAAGGGTAAGAACTCATTAGTTTAAGCACACTTCAGGTTCATGGCCAAAATGGTTGGTTCGTGGCCAAACACACATATGAGAGGCTTCAAGGCTGAAAAAAGATGGATTTTCTGATTTCTTACTTATTTGTTCTTAGTCTTAGAAACACATCAAGCATAAGAATGTTAAGGAATATTTTTTTCCTTAAGTGGAAATAGCTATGGAGATAGCTTGTACTTGGGAATTCCTTCACCTTATGTGAAGATATTTCAAGCACACTGTAGTTGTGAACACAGTTTTTAGAGGCAATCATTGACCTTCTGGCAACAAACCCAGCTTGTTAACAGGAATATCCTCTGCATGACATATGTGGTGTTAAGCCCTCCCAAGGGTGATAAATGATCTGGAAGAGCAGATAAATGATGCTGAAGTACGCAGTTTGTGAAGAACATCAGATCGTCTTCTTGCCAAGTCGTCCTGGAACAGAAAAAGACAAGAACCAGGATGGTTTTGCCTTTGCCAGCAAGAGATGCAGTGATTAAGCTCTACAGATAGCATGAACAACTATAAGATTTTCATTAAAAAAAAACAACAAACCAGCAGCAGGAACAACTTCCACACAAAGAACTTTAAAGGACTTTTCTAGTGACTTTTATAAAAAATGGACCCTTAAAGTGGCTATGTAATTAGCAGGTCAAATCACATCTCTACTTATATTAGAATATTCTTGACTGTAATCCACAAGTGATATATTATTTACAAGTTGTGACTATGTCACTATTTAAAAACACATTCACATTCTTCTCTTAAACTCTTATGTTATTTTGTTCCCACAGAAGTCAGTTGTTTGAAGATAGAAGTGTACAAAACAGCAGCAATTCTGATTTTGTGTTTGGAGAAAACATGGTTGAGAGAGTTTTGGTAAGATCTGTAAATGCTGGCAGACTTTTTATCAAGTTTAATGTACTTAGTAAAATTTTTTTCAGAGATTGGTTCTTTCTAGCTCCTCCTGTTCTTTTAAAAGATGTGAGTAAATATGATTCCAATGACTGTTGAGGAGAAAATATCTAAATATTTGCTATAGGAAGGGTAGGCATCCCTATCTTCCCCATCCTCGATAAGTACTCTAATTACTAACCCATACCAGCATGCACTTCTTCTGTTTTGCTCATTTTTTGACGTTTCAGGTCAAAAAGGTTTTTTTATTTTTTCCATGTAAAGTGGGACAGCCACAATATGAGATAAAAGAGTGCGGTCCCCCCACTCTAATAGTTTCCATCATAACTGTTAAGAGCTGGGAGAAATTAGTATGAGGGGAAAACTGAACAACCATCCTAGATAGTGTCCATGTTAAACTATATTGTGCATGCTGTGAGGCAGCTTAATGAATTGAGTCCTGAAGGAGACTCAGACAAAAAGGGTTGAGGTTTTAAAGGGTTCCCAAGTTGAGGACTGCACCCTTTAAAATGGAATTGAAATTCAGTTTCTAGTAGAAGTAGAATGAAAACAGTATGCGTATCTGCCAGTGAAAAAGCTTAGCAAGCATAGGTCTGGGTTATAACTTCTGACTAGTATTAGTTACAAAGCAGGAATTGAGCCACTGGGCATTGTCAGGAGACAGAAGCACTTATTTAGACATGCCTAGGAAACTTTTATCTGCAAAAACTGAAGGTCATGGGGATTTTTAAATCCTCTTAAGTTAAGTTTGTGGTGTCAGGGAATTTTAAACTATTCTTCTGGGGTTTAAGTGCTTAAACTGGAAATTAGCTGGTACTTAAACATCTAAGTCTTTAAGTGGATTTAAATCCTAGTCCAGGATCCATACAAAGAGGCCATTCTTCTTGGTGGAAGAATGATGTACCGATTTTATGATAAAAAAAATTACTTCCACTAAAGACTGAAATTGTATCATCTAAGTCAGTTTTTACTCTTAAGATATTACAACTGCTAATCTTCAGCCTAACATGCATTAAACAATTCAATCTACTGTTTCACATGAAGTAACATAGCCATTTTATTTAAACAGGAATTGTTATTTCCCCTGTTTTTTTCTAGAGTCCTGAAAAGCATCCCAAGCCGCGTAATGAGGCTGATTCATACAAAGGAGAAATAACATCTATGTACATAGACTTTTTTCATGTCAGTCCACAAACAAGTAAGCATAGTCAGCAAACAAGTACAGTTAGCTTTATTATTGTATGCTCTGCTCTATCTTAGAGGATGTCGAGTGGTGGTCAATAATTTTCGGCTATTCTCAAGTTACCCAGTCACTAGTACACTTGTGGCACGTGCCAAAATCTGTGTTCAGAAAGCAGCTACGGTTTGGTTTATGACATTTGAACTGGACTAACTTCAGAATAAATATGTTACTCAGGAAAATATAGTTTTACTTTTTCTCTTCTTCTCATTAATATCATCTCATCATTATCTATTATAGATTAATATTATTTATTATTTGATAAAAATGCAGTGAACTTTGTGGATGCCTTTTAGACTGCAATTTTTAACTACAATTTTAAGCTGTCCGTTGCTTGTACTTTGTGACTGCTCAGATAAATTACTTTGACATATTTGTAGCCCAGTTGTAGAATTGAAACTTCTATACAGACAGACTTGCAGGGATTGTTTGTAACTCTGGTGTGAGCTTTTCTACTAGGCAAGCCATGTAAACGTAGGCCGAGAGGGAATCCCAAGTAGGCCCCTATCTTGAGCCCTCTTGCCAAATTTTGCACACCTCTTTACTAGTGGATATATTGGATCCTCTTACTTTGTATGAACATTCTTACAAGTAAAAAAAAAAAAAAAAGCCTTTGGAAAATGTATATCGTGTATAGATTATGCAAATATAAAAAAATTTGTAGCAACATAGTTCCTTTCAAATTTTCTCCTTTTGTGTTCCTGACAAATATTCACTGTATATGCGTTACTATTCTGAATATTTGGACATGTGTCTTTTATTACTTATTAATCTGCACAGCAATATGACAGACCAGTTTAATTTGGAAAATCAACTTCTAATTACTTAGGGCTTGTTTCTTCAAGCTGTCTCTTGGGGCTTTGCAGAGAGCCCTGGTCAATTCAAAATGAGCCTAAACAGGTGAGACATTTTGCAGCATTCCACCCTTTTTCTTTTTCTCATCTTTTCACTGCTTTGGCCAAAAACGTATTAATAACACTAAATCAGACAGCACAGGGATTATTGAAGTCACAGGCCATCCTATGAGCTAGTTTTGTTGTCCTGAAAATACTGCCCATACAGAAGGGATTTCCTTTTGTTTTTCCCCTACAGAAATGGCTTTGTTGAGGAATGCAACACTAATTGACTCAGCAGCTGCTTGTATTTCCAAGCCAGTGGAGAAAATCCTGTTAGATAAAGTTGACGTTGTAACTGGGGAAGAAGCAGAACACAATGTATTACAGGTGTGTATTTCAAAAAGCCTTGATGGTGAGCAATCTTGTTGTTGAAAAGAACATCTAGATCTATTACAGATTGCAGCAATCTGAAAATAACTTCAGTTTATATTTTAAATTTTCACTTTTTTAAGATATGCCTCTGCCAACCCATTTTTCTGTAGGCTGTTATTTTCTTTTTTCATATTATATCTGTTCATTTTATAGTTTCTTTCAGTAAGTGACTGCTTCAGAACTTCATTCTACAGTTGTATTTTATAAGCATCTACACAGTATACCAGCAGTGACTAAAAGTTCAGAATTGGAAGTGATTTGAGCAAAGATTTTTGTGTGACAAAACTTTTTTGGGAAAAAAAGCAAGCAATGCATTGTCACAGTAGTAAGTTTTATAGTTCATCTAAAATTCTAATTATTTTTCTGGCCCAGCAGGACGTATCGTGCTATTCTTCATCTTCAAACCGTTATTTTCTCAGCAAATAGCAATGACATATATGATTTAAAATTCTTAACATCGAAAGATACATTATATTATCATTGATTAAATCCTCTGTCTTGTCAGAACATGAACGTTTTGCTCTCTTTGGAGCAGTACTTTCCTAGTGATGGTACTGGTATCCTGGGCTGCATAATTCTAATGAGTGTAGAACGCTTGCAACAAATTCAGCTTTGTTACTGGGTATCACAGATGAAGAGTTAATGAAGATGAAATAATTGGAAAAAGTAAACTGGGATTCATGCTGAATGTTTTCCATGACTAGCAGAATGTTTAGCACAGATATGGGAGCCATTTCATTTTAAGTAATAAGGGTCATATATGTGTATATCTATCTTTGTATACACGCATATGGATGTATTAAGAGCCATATCAAATCATTTAAAAACATAAAGTTTTAGAACCAATAAAATTAACATTGGCTGGCAATTCCCATCATGTATTTATTTTTCAGATCAACTGCAAGCTCTTTGTATTTAATAAGCTTTCTTTAACCTGGACTGAAAGAGGCAGAGGATCCCTGAGGCTTAATGACACTTCTAGCAATAAACATGGAATGTTGCAGTCAAGGCTAAGTAAGAATTAAATAACAAAGTGACACATACACGAAATGCTAAATAACTTGTACTGTTGCTGGACCGAATAAATTTATTTGAGAATCTTTAAAACTGAGTAGCTAGCTTTAGTTAGGTCAAGTTGCTGAGAATCTTTTTAACATAGTCTGATAAAGTTGGCTGTGTTACTGACTGAGGCACTGGGTATTTGTCACTCCGTGTGTACACTCACGCTTGCATATGTGCACTTCTACTGTAGTGTATCGTTAGCTCAGTCATCAGTCTGACAGTTTGCTCTCTGTTGATTGTGCTTTTCCAGGAGCACTCTTCAAAGTCACTTCTGGAATGTTGTTTTTACTGTGCTGTCATTTTTTGTACTGTACTGCACAGTTTCAGCAGATTATTTGCTTTGTATGCCAGATGTATTGAAAAAAACTAATACATTTTGGTATTTTAAAAAGTAATTTAAAAAAATCTCATGTCAGATTTTAAACCAAATTAAAAAGAGTAATTCATGAAAATACTAGTTGTACACAAGAGGTAGAGAAAATGGGTGCAGTAAAAATTAAGAAGGTTCCAATGACTTACCATATAAACCTTCTTATTTTAGTTATGCGAAATCAAGGCAGCTTGAGACTGATTCTCAACACCCGACTCTGGGATCAAATGGTTATAAAAAGAGCAAACAGAAAGAGCCTGTGCTTCACTGCAACAGACCAAGAGAACCACTCTGTTCAAGTATTTCTAATTCAGGTAAGCAAAAGATAAAAACCTCACCCAAATCCCCATTTCATCGAGGATTCTGAAGACTTCCTGAGGCTCTGGTTTTAGCAAATGGCCTTTTATGCTCTGTCAGGCTATGCTTTGCTTGGCTGTTACATGCCTTTTATTATTAAATGAGTTAGAAGTGCTATCCCTTGGTATGTCACAAAAAAAGGTGTGAAGATGAGATGTGGCCTTAGGACAGACATTTCCAGACTCTTGTTTCATGTACCGCTGATGGAATGGATATCATTCCAGAGTCATATGCAGCAATTACTCTTTCTTACAGAAGCAACACTGTGAGAATTTCTACACAGGTATTCACATATTCTTAGTTAGTTACTTTGGTACAATGCAGCAGCTTTCTGCCACAGTTATTGACACTGTGCTTGCAATAATCCATCCCATGTAGGAGCTCCATTTCTCAGCTGAGGAGAACACAGATTTTGTGATGTCACCTTACATAAGACAATAGTCTTGGGAATTGTGGTCTGCTTTACCAAGGGCTGAGAAGTTGAGGATGGAAATGTGGTGGACTTACTTGCAAATAAATAGCACATAGGTCCTACGTTGGGAAGTGAGAGCATCCATTGGAGCTTAAGGATGTCTCCAGTTTCCCCAGTAGGCCTTTCTGGGAAGGGTTCAGCCTCCTGGGCAAGACAAATAAATCACCACTTCTGCAAAGTGTCACATGTCATACACAAGCAATGCAGTGTATATGCAAGCAATGTAAGTCTCTCACTTCCAAACAGTGTGACAGACTTAGATGCACAGCTGGTCTGCATGTGAGAATTAGAAACAAACTAGAATTCCAGATGTGTTGCAGTTTTTCTAGCATATATAGATGTAAACGTTCCTTAAATTCTGTCTTGGCACTTCTGGACAGTAAAGGCAGACATGTATTAGGAAACCAAGATACAGGACAGTTGTATGTGTGTGGCAAGGGTTGCAGGAAGCTGCTTCTGCAGTTGTACCTGAAGCAGCTGGTGTCCATCACTGTAGCTGGTATCCAACCAAACTAACACTGAGACTCTTGAGTGTGAAAAGCAAATTGGTCAATGCGTGAGACACCCAACAGCCATCACCAAAGCCTTGGCATGTAAATCAGGCTGGTCTAGTAGTCAGTGGAGCCCACTTATCCAAGGCACCAGCAAATTTTTTAACTGACATTTAAATTTGTTTTTCCCACATTACATGAATGAGTGGGTTCAGGGATATTATCCAAAGGGCTTCTCATGAGTGAGGGAGGGGAGTCATTATGATGCTGCCTGCCAAGGAGACAGTCCACAAGACTCCATTAGGTTGGTCCTGTAGTACTCACCCAGCTTTGTGCAGAGGGCTGAGCCTGCCCCCTCCCCTCATGCTTGTTTCTCCCTCCTTGCTTTTGGAATTTGTACAGCTACGAGTGAGGCAAATCAGATAACTGATCTAGGTGGGTTGGTTCATTTTTACTAAGTTAGTTTTTTAGCTTGATTTTATTCACCTGTGATTGACTTAATGGTGGTACTGGCACAATGGAGAGGGCAGAAATGAGGAGTCAGAGGATGTACGGACGGGAGTTCACCCTTCTTGGCAGAAGCTGGAGTTCACAGTAGATTAAAGTGACAGAGAAACTCTGGCTTTCGAATAAGTAGAAAGCTACAGATAGAAATGATCAGACTGAATAGCTGCCTCTTTCATATTTATGACCCTACATTTCCTGAAAAGCCGTGTTATCTTGAGAACCCGGGTTTGTCCACTGAGAATTGCATTTGTAGCTGAGACACCTGATCAACTCTGAATTGCTTTCTTCTTTGCCTGGCTGTAGGGAGAGAATTGTTTGCTGCTGGAAGTCTGGGTAGCACAGAAGACAACCCTGATCTGCTGCTGCTTCCCAGTCTGCATAGCTTTTCCACCTGCACACACTGAAACCTGTCATTCCTATCCAAACAAGACGTATGTCTTCCTATTGCCAAGTGATACAGACAGAAATTACTCCACATGATGCATGGAAGTGGAGAATCAGTTTACAGAAGACCATATGCATTCGGTTACCCTCTGGTAGATGATTTGCTTCATAAGATGTTCTCTATGGGCACTTCTGACAGTGCCCAAACGAAACGGTTTTAGGAAAAGCATTTTAGGAAGCATACGCAAGCATGGCCACTTTGTATGGTCTGTTCACCTCATCAACACCCAGCATCCATAAGTGTTGTATTAGGCATGCAAGAGCATGCACCCCTACTCGTTTCCTTTGCTATCTATTTTGTGAAATAATTGTCCCTGAATTTTTCTAATTCCTTTTTTAAACTTTTATTATTATATTTTTGGTGTTGTTTTTACTTTCTACTCTCTGTCCCCACTCTCTCCTAAGGAAGCAAATTCTACAAGTTCCTACTTACTCTATAAAGAAGCACTTTCTTACATGCTGACCCTCTACTGCTTTCATTAAGCATACCCTAGTGCATTTATTGTGTGGTCTGATGACCAGCCATACGACATTCAGTTTATCCACCAGTTTTATAATTTTGAAAACCTTAGTTATACCCCCTTCTCATCCTTCTCGTCAGACTGAAGAGTCTCAACTCTCCATAAGGGGCTGCACCATATCCTTGGTCATTTTTGGTGCCCTTCTCTTTACCTTCTTTGATTCTGCTATATCCTTGAGATGTGATGACCAGAACGGAACACAGTACTCAGGACATGGCTGCTCGAAGGTTTATGTACTGGCAAAATGCTGCCTTGTCCAGTTCTCAATATCCTTCTTGATGATGCTCATCTTCTGTTCAACAATAGCAGCAGAATTCATGGTATCTTTAAATTTTATAATCACAAATATTTTTTTTTTGTTAGGTTTTAAAATTCTTATTTATTCTGTAAACCAAAATGCAATACATATATTAATGTTTCAGTGCTTTATTACTTCTAGAAACATACTCAGGAATTGTCTGCAATATCAAGTACTCAGTACAAACTGAGCCATTCTTCAGGGGAAATAGTTTTTAAGCTTATGTGTCTTGTAACTGCAGAGAAAATAATCAACAACTACATTTTATAAAATTCATACCACTCAAAGAAACTTGACATTATTTGTATTATTTTATTTGAACTTATTTGAACTTATTTTCTGAAATGAATTATTAAGTGTGAATCTTAAATGGATTGCTCTGATTAAAAAAGACAAAATACAGCTCTTTCATTACTTTTGAAAATTTGTCAGTCAGCTTCTCTGTGAAAAACAGAGATTTTTCTCAGTTAGTTTGGACTCTATGCATTTTATGTTCTGCAGGCAAGCTCAAAAGACACTGGATACCTGTATGCAGCAATACATCACCGCCTTGTGGCATTGCGAAGCTTTGCTGAGCAAGAGCCAAATGTTAATCAAGTCAGCACAGAGTCAGAAATGGCTTTTCATCCATTAAACTGTGATAGCGATGATGAAGATGATGAAAAAATAACTCAAGTGAGCAGCAGTGGATCTGGTAAGCAGAAATTTTCCTGGGAATGCTGTAATCCTTTCAGGGTATTTTCTTGGAAGCAATGAATATTGCACTTCTTTTTTTTCATGCTGATTATAACTTTTATCTGTAACAGATACCGCCTTTCAGGTAAGAGGGTAATTCCTTTTAGTATTTTGACTTAATACTGTTAAAAAGCAAGGTTTTTCCAGATAAAGTATCTACACATCTTTATAGCAGTGGTATAAAAGATATATATCTTTTGACAAAAGGCTGAGGGTTACCAAATTGTAGTATTGCCAAGCTTTACCTAAAGGTTTCTTCAGTGTATTTAGGTAGAAATGACTAGAGGTATTGAGATGCTAGTTGTTACTTGAGTAAGTTAAAGTTGAGTCCATTCACATCAGCGCTTAGGTAGTTACTAATTGCACCAGGTATAACGTGTTTACTAAGACATTTATTATGCAGTGGTTAATTTAAAACACTGATTCTTGATCTGCTGTAACAACTACATCATTAGAGAATTCACAGGTCAAGATTTACACACCAGTTTTGCCAGCTTTCTTCAACATAACAAAAACATAAGCTCCTCAAAGTAAAGCATGCAGCTGAAACAAGATACAAGGGGCAAGGTGCTGACTGAATCCTACTCTAGAAGCAGTTAATACAGCTTACAACAAGGCTGGGGTCATATTTGCAGAAAGCAAGGCAGAAACAGCTGTCAAACTGTCTTCTGTCTTAGCAAAAGATAAGTCACATTTCTGGGGTGAATTCACTTGCTTGTGCCAAACTGCTACAGTGGATACTGGAGCTGCCAATTACATTCAATTTTCTAACAGAAGGACTACAGCAGGCATGTTTGAGTTGTTGCTCATAGCATTAATTTCCCTCTCCAATTGAGTAACACACTGTCCTTATATTATAAACTCTTCCGTTAAACAACTATTCTACAAGAATCAAGTCATGTATAAGTAACAGCTATGAATGATTGTTTGCTTAAGGAAATAAGTCTTTTTTTGCCTTTAGGCAAAAAGATTGCAGTTTACAGTGCTTGTTCCCATTATTAATTGTTGTTTAACTACATTTCAGTAGCATTCACTGCTCTAAAGAAAGTATGGTGCTCTTATACATTTTCTCACAAATACCGTTTTTCTGTTTAGGAAATGGGAGAACTGTTAGCTCTGAAAACTCCCTGGATTGCTCCCAGATAATAAAAAATTACCTCTGTAATTCCTAAATAGTCTCTGTTGACTTTACAAAGAGTTTCTGGTAACTTGAAAATTCTGGATGGAGCTTGATTCCTTTCCAGAATTATTGATGATAAGGACTCTTTGTTCTTTTAGGGGTAAAAAAAAAAAAAAAAGAGGGGAAAGGGAATGTCAGAGCAGTGTAGGAGCACAGGTTTACAAGTTAAATATTTATTTTTATTTGCAGAGACTTCTGATACAAATATTCCAATGGCAGCCAGCAAACAGATTCTGAGATATGAGTGTCAGGTGTTGTTTCTTCTTGACCTTTTAGTTTAAGCATCTGTCTTTCATTTATGTCCAGCTACTGACAGCAGTTCTAACAATCTCTTTCAAGTGCTGTTTCGATGACTTCTAGCATTTCCTACGTATCTTCATCTCTTCTCTTATTCTCAGAGCCACGAGGTTTTAATTTTGCATAGATCTCAGTTACTGGTATCCGAGTCCCACTTTACGTGCAGACATTCACATCTTACACATGCCTGTCCCCGGAATTCCCATTTCCAAAACAGGAAGAAAAACATACCTCATGGGTTTGAACAGGGAGAGGCTAGTTTTAAATATTTAAATTTAAATTTTAATACGTGGAAATGTCCATTTGGATGCAAGAGATCAGATCCGGTATATTTGGGAGCATTTATTTAAAGCTTTCATTTTCATGCTTTCATTTTCATTGAAGGATGTACGTGAATAAGTTGTCTTATTTTTATTGCTGTAACTCAGTTTCAGAATTACCTCTCCTTAAGATTACTATAAATGTTAAGAAGCATAAGTTCTCAGTGACTGTTTCATTACAAGAAATTCAATTAGAAAATATGCCTGCATTTTATTTCATTCCATTCTACCTGTTTTGTCTTAAAAAATACTTCTTTCTTTTCTTAATACAGGCAATTTTCTTCTTGTTAAACTGAACTAACACGGTTCCCTAGATTATGCTGTACATTTCATGACACTGTAAAAGACATGAAAAAATGGACAAGAATTATCTTTACTGCTAGAGACTGAAGAAGAAAGCAAATATGATATATGTAATAAGTAAAGCATTAAGCGATTCTATATGTTTGCAAGACATTTTTGTAAGAATTTTTTACACAGAATTCTTTGCTGTATCATCCACGGGATATTAATGCTGTATAAGGACAGTGTATAAGGTAGTAGAGATACTTCTAACATTTTACAAAATCAGTATAGACATTTATTCCAATATTTTTTAAATTTGTAATTGAACTGCTTTACTTTCAAGTAGAGATATTAATTTCCTAAAGTGTATAAAGAATAATTTGCTGTACCTGATACATTTTTGGATCATATTTCACCAGTTACAGCTTGGATATTTTTACCAACAAGTTGCTCTGTAAATCTAAGTGGGGAGAAGTGGAACAATTCATCTTTAAACAGATTTTGAGAGTGGATGGGATCAATAACTCTCTGGGAAGTATTTCTCTTTTCCCACTGACTACAATGTGAACCAAGGAGATGAATTTAGACTAGACAGCAAACTTCTAGGCTGACCAAAGTCAAGCAAATCTATTCCTCCATTTCTTTCATTGCCAATTAATTTCTCTGCTAAGTATTGTAACTATGTTTGCCTCCAGTTATTTTTGTAATGAGGAAAGATCAGCAGAATTCTTTACTACGCATATGAAACATTTTCTCACTAACTAATTTAACATACAAAACAATGAAAATTGCTGATATGGCAATGTATCAATGACTGGACCAAGAGTGCTCCCTTCTGAGGGAAATGCCACAGGCCTCAGACAGTTGTATGACTCTCCTCAGACCTGCAATCCTTACATTCTTTTCTATGTGGTAGATCTGCTTCAATAAACAGAATAGACAATTTCCCTTAGCCAAGCATATGCAATAGCCTCATAAGGGAGCATGGTCTCCTGGTACCTGACCCCTGTGGATAAAGAGGACCTAGCACCCTAGCACACACAGATCGGAGCATGTTCTGCATGAATAACATAATGTCAAACTGTTGCCACTACGTCCTCCTGCTTTGCTAAGTGATCTCAACCATCGATTTGGGGCTTTCCTGTATGTTGGCACACCTGTGTCAAGTATCTGTGCAGACAAAGTCTTCTGACTCCTGTTTTTTAAGCACCTTGACTACAGGCAGTTACATATTCAGCACGTGGGCATGCTGAGTTGCACTGCTAACATGCATGAAGTCCAAATATAGTTAAAGGATAGACCGTTCTCTAACATAGAATCTGTGCAGCTCTTGCAGGGTGCCCATCTTTTCCCACTGGCAGCACAAACAAGGCACCTACGTCAGGCTCAAAAAATCATCCTGCCAGGACATGCATCTGTTGTAGCCCTGACACCTAAGCTTGCCATTGGTGGCAGCTGATCTGAAGTGATTGCTTAGACCCATAAGAGACTAAGATGTCTCAAAAATTGTTAGTCCTTGCTTCTGACAATTCTGTTTTGTCATAGCCATATGGAGAGTCTGTCCTTGCTCCAAAAGAATGCCTTTTGTTTACATATATAAACAGGTGCTGTTTTCATCATGGTCATCAGAAATGGCGGAAGGTACATAAAGTGTTGTAACCCCGATAGTATTTACAAAGAACTGTTATTCCTTAGAGGCATAAGGCAATTCTTTCACAGGGGACTATGAAATGTCAGTCATGGTAGTAGAATAGCATGGAGCTATAGGTAGGATGGTTCCTATGACTTCCATCCTTTTCTCTTTTCTGATTTTGCAGGAATTTGTTTATTTTTATCCAAAATTTTTTTTTTATAATGTTTTATGCATTATTTCTTATACTGCACCTCACCAATAACGCTCTTAAATCATCTCCTAACTTCATCCTGATTGAGGGATCTTCTCTTTTGATTGAGATGTCCTCGCTTTCCTAGCATGGAATTTTCTTTTAGAAACTATTACGATGAATTCAAAGATGTTGGAGTCTAGGACTAGGTATGTCCCAAGAAGTCTCTCCATACGTAGCCCTAGACCTTAAGAGAAAACCATAGTATGTGAAGATACAGGGTGTCCCATATGGGTCCACCAATAATTGCATGGATTTTGGAAACTACTGGTGTTGAGAGTGGGACAGTATCATATCACAGAAATGCAACCTTTGTTTTAGTTTAGATACATTTTCTAGTCCATTGTACATGTACTCCCCATGTTGGCCTCATTAGGACTCTGTCACGTGCTGGTGTTTATCAAGATTTAAAATGTTCAAGAGCTTTTTTAATTTTTAAGTAAAATACTTTTAAAGTTCTTAAAGGAACTACTGTTCAGCAACACCATAGGAACTCCTAAAAAACTGCTATCTTTGTTTGACATTTCTTGTCAATTTAATTTAAATTCTTACCAATTGTTAAGGATTCCAAATCACAAATCTAACACACACACCTGACAGTGATTAAAACTGAGGAAAAGGTAAGAATTAACTTCTTTGCTGGAGTCCAAGTTTCTGTATTCTTTGCAGCAGGTATCAGTAACATCTAAAGCAGAGAAGAAAAGAAAACTCTCTGATTGGCTTTAAATGCTGACATATCAGGAAAGAGCAGAGGGGAATTCAGATTTAATATTCTCACAGACTCAGGGCCTTTCATTGCACCTGTAAGAGGTTTAGAACTTTTAGTAAGCATTTAGCGGTGGCCAGATGGATGCAGTTTTTAAGCAGATACTGAAATGGTGATATTATGTGTCTGGCATTAGTCAGCTATATCTGTTTTTTGCAGATTACTTATAGTTGTAGAGTTTACACACCAAAAACACCCCTGGATACTTTATCAGGACCAATGAGTTATTTGAAGATATGCTGGATTTCTTACAGTATACAGAGCATCTATTATAAAGTGTTAAGACAGCGTTCCCCTTACAGAGTGAGATGATTTGCATCCCAGACACATTGTCCCATCTAGATACCTGAATCC